TAACTATCTGGCAATTATCCTGTATATATGCTAGTCATTTATCTTCATAACTATTTATATACAGTATTATATAATATAATTAAATAAATAAAATAATTTAGTTTTTGTTTATAAAGGTAGTATTCTGTTTAAACGTCAGATCATCCATATCTTGAATAGAGTTGCGGGTCTGAGTCCCGCTCCGGGCCGATTCTTTTCTTCCAGAATATTATAAATTGTTTAATATAATTATAATTATTAAATTTAATAAAAGATTGCACCTAACGCCTCCCTCCAGTGACAAATTATTTAGAAAGTAATTAAATATAATCGAGAAAAAGATGTTTGTATATTTATATGTAGATCTAGTTTGATTTAGCTCTCTTATTCTCTCCATGACCGTATACTAACATTTCTTCACAATCCCATATGATTGCATAAAATAGTTTTAATAAATTTGATAGATTTCGATGAAATAAAGGAATAAAAATTAATACAATATATAAAATTCATGTGTTTGAACTTACGGAGGATAAATGTTGCATATCATGAAATGGCCCGAACCGAGATTTTCGCAACTCGATTTTGAACAACCAATTGCGTAACTTTCGGCCCATACAATCTATTAAATTTTAAATTAAATCTATTATTAAAATTTGATCTTATCAAATACAACTTTGTCGATTTTAAATGCTTAATACTTACGTTTTTGAATGAATCACAATTACCATTACATTTATTGGTTTCGTAGGTATAATTAGAATCATTGGCCCATTCGTTTAATAGATGTATTTCATCAAAGGATTTGTTGATTGAACCTCTATTTTGACTGAATTTTTTCTCACAACCAGGAGGACCAAATTCCCTTTTACATTGATCTCCCCAATCCTTAGCGAGATTTGCTAATTCGTCACTCCATATCTACAAAGATATTACAGAATTATATTATTAAAAATTATTCTTTTATATCTACATAATAGTTTCATTTTACATTAAATTCGACCAAATATTTTATTCTCTCTATTTTTTTATATTTTTATACAAAACACGAAATCGTTAAATCCGATTATGGACAATGACATATTTTATACCATCCATCAGTGGCTGAGCGATTTCAACTACTTAGACACTGGTGGACGGTCTAAAATATGAACATTGATAACTGGTCCCTGGTTCGCTCATCACTTTAGCTGTATGGTTTGGTTTGATGGGATACGGCAACAGAATGCCCGGGCAATCTGCCAAGAGGGATTCCTCTCGGGAGGATTTTTTATGAAAATTCTGAAATTCCCTTCTCGGGAGTACCCGTAATGAATAATTATAAAGGCTGATGAGCTTATAAAAAAAAATTAAATTCATCGATCATTTAAACATTTTAAATTAACATTATTACTAGAAAATAGAACTATTAACTGAAATAAATTTTTTAAACTTTTCGTCGAACAGTTATTTCAATTTGTAAATATTTTCTAAATGTAATTCACTTACCACTCTCACTTTATTTGACACAGCATCAAAACTATCCTCTGAAGTTCGTGACTTAAGATTATTTACTTCCTCTACAATTTTGTTTTCTTGATTCGCTTTGAATCCACTGTATTTCAAGGCATCCGGATATTGATAGGAACGTTTAGAAATACTTTTTAATTTGTAGTTAACCCCACCTTTTGTAGAAATGGATAATCCATTGTTTACCCAATACAATCCCAAAAACCATACTATCCAGTTTCGAGTCATGTTTTAAAGTTTTCGAATTGAAATCGCTTCCAGAGAAAAAAAAAAAATGGAGTCTAATTCGATTAATTTTCGTTCGAATTGATTTTAAATTTAAGAATTTAACAAACGATAAATTAAATAATTGCTGACGTCTTTTATAATATTTTATCCGACATTTTTTTATTTTTTAAGATAAAATGTTTATGTAAATATTTAAAAGTTTATTATTATTTTTCCTAACTCATAAATATCTTGTATAGAAATATTTATGATGCTTGTTCATTCTCTTTGAAGCTTAGTAACTCCTGTGTCTTTTGTCGAAAAAATCTAGAATTTTTCAAGGAGGTTTGGGTATTAGGAGTCTGAACTATTAAATTTTGGTGGTTAAAGGTCGAGATAGCTTTTCTAATGATTACATTGCCACTTTGTAGAGCTTCCGAGAGATACGAGAATTCCTTCACGATGTCGATCATTGATGTTACGTCTTTTAAAAATCCAAACTAAACAAATAGTTGGTTAATTCCTCACACAGAACTGCGTACTAATGCTAATTGAGATGGTCCAGAACAAAACGTGATATTTCCATCTTGGGGAAATACTTATTTTTTATTAGATAGTGTTATATTAGCTAAAAGTATCTGCAAATCGAACCAGACTTAAGTCTGTAATACATTAATTTACAATAATGATATAATACTGTATTTTATATAATTCAAAATATCAGTTTTTACCTTTCCTTGACAGAAAGTTTATNATTTACCCGCCTAAACTGTCCGTAGCGTAGCGCTGGACAGCGGAAAATAGTTCGGCTGCTCGTCTGCAATGACGAGTTGGCAATGACGTTTTACCGCGTTTTACGCGTCCCTTTTAGCGTCTTTATACGAATATTGCCGCAATTTTTTCGCCGCGTCATAGGAATCTACGTTATTGGAACCCACGTTATAGGGTGGTCTACTGTACTTGATTTAGATTTAGCAGGAAAAATGTCTTCTAATTTCACAATTTTCAACGTAGGTTCGCTAGAATAACGACGTCTCTTGCTCTTAACATTACTGGGGTTTCTCTCTATGCCACTGAGAATCAACAGAAATGACTATATAACTACGAAAAAGCAATATTTTACCATAATTTTTAACTTTCCAAAAAGTCACTAGCAAACTTCACCAATTCCCCTTTTAAATCGTGATTTTTTTTATTGTCTAGAAGCAACGACCAATGTTCAATGGTTTCTTTTATACTTCAGTGGACACTTTTATAATCCAAAATATAAAAATAAATTTATAAGCATTTTTTAAAATATTCGTTGTAAAACAGTAAAGCTTTCTCACCTTAATAAAAAAACTTTATATATATATATTTTAGCTCTCTGTTAAATAGTAGGAGTGAAGACATAGTTTCCCATTCTTTACCCTTTATATTCGGCCCCATTTAAGATCATACCTGTTCGTAATGGATATAACTGCAGCTTGCTAGCTACATAAACTACACTATGCTGGTGCTAAACGTTAATCAATTGATAATATGAAATTATTGATTTGAACTCTACAGGGACCAAGCATATTTGTGTATTGGTTGCTGCAACTTACACAGCATTAAATACACTCAAATATTATCTGTTGCTTATTTTTAAAATGAAATAAAAACTATATTTTATTTGAATGATAATACGTATTAACTGTTGAGAAAACTGAATTACGTGACTGAATTACTCGTCACACAATCGATTGTTTATATCTATTTACTAGGTACTAGTAGCTAGATAATACATTGGTATTGTTAAAGTTGCGTGTTATTTTTCGTTCCTAATTAGTTTAGGGCAGTTCTATAGAAAACTTTTTATTTACTACTTGTCTAATATAAGCCACAACAAATTATTCTATTTAAAGTATACCTGTTAATTATAAATATAACGAAATAATTAAAGACAGTTTTTCATAATTAAAGACATGGAAATTTTTCATATTTTAATTACAAATTTGAATTTTTTAAGTGGTTTCTTCGTGGCTTATATTAGATTTATATTTAGTTAATTGATTTTTACTTTTAACTTTCTAGCAATTGGGAAGGAAAAAAATCAATTAGACTTATGTAGTATATGTTGGGTGGTTCAGAAGTCATTTACTCAAAATTATATTTTAAAAGGCTTGAAAAATTTATTTTAAAATCGTATCAATTATATTTAGTTGTTTTGATTTTGATTCAATTCTCTGATTTGGGCGGGCATTGAACTTATACATCTAAATAACGGCAGTACATCACCTTGGTGCATTATTGTTGGTTAGATGTATGAGAGGAACATCTCAGTCGTATTCTAAACAGGAATTAACTTCCAACAGCGATCACAACAGCCGGTTTTTATATTTCCGTCAGTGGACAGAGGTTTTACTGTGTATACATTGTTTAACATATTTTAAATACAAATAAAATTTAACAGCGAATACATATGGTTTATCGTACATAACGGATAAAATGTATGAAGTGACGAAATCATCTTCTTGTATACAACTTATATCACGTGTCACAATGACTATAGCAACCATTTTCTGTCGATAAGTTTTGTATAACATTTACTAACGCTCAATAACACAGGAAACAGGTAAGATACTTTTCATCAAATTATCGAATATTCTTAAATATTTTCAATGAAATATTTAAGTTCACTTTTCTAAGCAATATTTTAAATATATTTATCTAATTATTGAATCTTCATTTTTAACGAATCAATCGAATTGTATTATACTATTATAATAATTAATGCCATATTCAAACTTGTGTATCCAAGCTACAACATATTAATATAAGATGCTTTTTCCTTTCGCTTTTCAGAATGAAGCGAGACGTTACATAGCGTGAGACTTTCAGTTGTACAGTACATTATTTATTTATCATACATGTGGTTATAACTGTTATTATTTTGTTGCTATTTGTTATAAACATTTACAGTTTACATCTGAATACAATTTAAGGAAGGACAGACAGACACATGGACGGCAATTTTTGAAAACTTCAACCCGAAAAGTACTGTATAAGATTAGTCAAAATGACATGGACAATATTGAAAATTATAAGGTTTACAGATGAAGCCACGTTTTATTTCAGAGCTGAAGTGAAGCGATAGAACATTTATGTCTTAAAAAGTGAGAGCACACATCACATAGCGGAACATTTCCATAGTAAACACTAGAAATGTGATGATATTGCGATATTCACATTTTATTATATGATAACTTAAAACAATATAGTATTGTGTTTTCAGGTAATATCGGACCGTTTAAATTTTCTTAAAATAATTTTGAGAAAGAATAATGATTGCGAGACGGAATCAGACGAGCGATATCGAAAGTGTCAGAACAAAAGCTGAGTGAGTAAATTTATAATTATGTATATAAGTAAAGTAGTTCTAACTGTGTAAATAAATTAAATAATAATAATTTACACAATGTAACCTGTAGGTATCCAGAAAAAAGATCAAGTAGAGAAAAGAAACTATGTGTAGCCGTGGTAGTTCTTCTCATCTTAGTCTTAGCTCTTTTAATTGCAGTCATTATTTTAGCCATTTTAGGTAATGAATTTTTATTTTTAAAAATGCAAGCATATAAAATTTTATATTGATTGTATTACATTGCATGTTTATTTGTATATTAGTAAATTTTCGTTAAATTCATTAAGTCTTTTCGTTATAATATCCATTAGGTATGATTTGTAATCATTTACAATTATGGTTGTTGCATTTCCTTTATTATAAACAGTAAAATTGATTCTATGAAGTGGGAATTAAATGCTGGAAGTTTTAAACCTTAAAATATTAACGGGATTTTATTTTGTTCATATAATTTAACCTATGGTAGATTTGGTTGCTTTATACGTCGTTTTGTTTAAGGCTGATTGTAACGTCTTTTATTAATGAGAAAATATTGAGATGATCTCCCGCTTAACAATGAAACAATCTCGATTAAAAAAAAGAACAAACTACAAACGATTATACATACATCGCTTACAAAAATGTTTAAACACAGTAAAGGGGTATGTGTGTATGTTTGTGTGTACAAAATATGTTCTACATCTCTGACATTTGTAATAGCCCGGTACTTCAAGGATCTCCGAGCTACAGTACAGTCACCTGTGGGCTATTGTAATGTAACACAAACTCACACTAACATGCCACATGTTTTCCCTAGTAATTCTCATCACCCTCTTCATTAAAACGCATGCAAAATTTTTTCTTGGTGCGCTTAGCAGTCTTGTACTTGTATAATTCTTATCGTACATTTTGCTGTCACCTTTCCTTTTATTCAGTGCAACGATAACAGAGTCTCTCTGATCATTCAGCACGCACCCTTTCTCTCAGCACAAACTAAAGAGGCTCGTCAAACATACCAACAACACTTACCAACATATTTTAACATTTCAGCACATACTCCATCCACACCCCCAGCTTTTCCAATTTTTAACTTGTCACTTGCTCTTCTCACCCCATTTACATTGATCTCCTCACATCTCATTTTCATGCATTCTAACCTCACGCTTAGACACTTTGTCGTGACATTTACACATCTTAAAGCTCATTGAAATATAATTTTCTAATTAAATTTTATATATTCCAGAATGATACATAACTATCATAGTTATCATCTTACGTAATAAATCTCTAAAATATTTAATAATAAATTAGTAAATTATTGCTTTTTATCATGTATAATTCAATTTGTCATAAATAACGTTACTTTTATTGCTATTATTAATATAATAATCAAAGTAAGTATTGTACTTATGTGTCTTCCTCTGTTGTTTTTCTTTCTTCACAGATGGCGCTACTTCGTAAAACGTTGAATTGTTTTGTATTGCTGTAGTGTTATTATTAATAATTTAAAATTTAAACGTTGAATTAAAAAAAGTAGCCGAATTTGTACTTTCTCATAGAAAGTAATCCGTCGTGCTTAAATTATTTTTCTGTAAATTAAATTAAATTTTCTGAGAATTAAATTAGATGTGTAATTTAATTCTCTTGATAATTTATTTTATTGAATTTGTTCTAACCATAACCTTTGTAAGCTATACCTATAATATTGTCTTTTCCCTATAAGAAGATTAATTAAATTGTAAATTTATTCTTTAAGATACAAGACCTGAAATGGAAGAAATCTGCACAGAACCTTATTGCGTAAAGTCGGGTAATTTTTAACAAATCTCTTAAAATATAAATTTAGTTTTAATAAATTATACACGTATAAGTTATATATTTAAATTTTATACAAATAGCAAATTTTATATTGAGTTCCATGAATAATTCTGTCGATCCGTGTGAAGATTTTTATCAATTCAGTTGTGGTAAATGGATAGAGGATCATTCGGAAGATCACGGAACAAGAACATTAAGTGTTGCCTCGGAAAAGTTGGAAAAAATTCTAAAAGGTTCGAAACACTATTTTCTTATTTTAAATTTACCGTTTTAATAGAAATTAATCTTCTTACAGAGATATTTAAATTAGAAAAACAAAATGAAGATTCACCCAATAGTGTAAAAAAAATCATAAAAGCTTTTGATGCTTGCACAGAACATGGTAAACTGAAAAATATAATAAATTAAAATGCAATTTTTTTTAAATAAATTTTTAATAAAAATTATGAGAATTTAAAAACATTTAAGATTATCTTTTGTATTACAGATGACTTCAATACAGAAAACAAAGAATGGATAAAAAAAGTGACTAACGAAGCTGGTGGATTTCCTTTGATAGACACCAATTTTCGTAGCTCATTCTCTCGCTGGACCGAATTGTATTCGAAGCTTATTAAAACTTATATTATTAATTCTCCTCTGCAGATATTTATTCTTATAAATCCATTAAATACAAGTGAAAATGTGATACACGTAAGTTGTTAGTTGTTTCGATTGCATTTTTAAACTATTAGATTAAGCGCGTTAGCTCTTAACTTATGCTTATAAAATGCTTGTTTATAAGCTTGTTTAAGAAAGGAAACTGCAATTATATATATATATATATATATATATGCAAATATTAAAATAAATAAATTATATTTATTATTATCATTTTTCTTGTTTTAGATGTCTCAACCGACTTTAAACGACAAAACAGAAATAACGAGAAACACATTAACAAAACTTACCTATACTTTTGGAAACACAAATAATGCTTCCATACAAAAGGATATTGATGATGTATTTTGGTTAATAAAGACAATCGCTAATGTTAGAACATTTTAAAAAATTTAATGAATTATCTTTTTAATTAAAAATTATTTATTTCAAATTTCAATTTTAGTTATCGCGTTCAGATGCTGAAGTAATGGAAGACAAAAGTGATCATCAATTGGTGACAATTGAAGAATTAAATTCGATTTTTTCCGAGGTAAGTAAAGATATATAAATAATAATAATTATTTTTTTTAAATAATTATTTATCTATTTACATTTATTTAGGTGGATTGGTTACCTTTTATAAGAGATATTTTTAAAGATTTTCTAAAACCAGGAGTGACCATCACTGCACAGGATTATGTATTTTTAAATGGAAAGAAATATATTAAAAGTATCATAGATCTTTTTGAAAAGAATTACATTTCCGAAAGGTATGTGAACAGTAATTTTTTTGATTATATATTTTAATTGTATTAATAAACTGTACAGATAAACAAGATTAAAAATCACGATGAATTGTGATTCCAACTATATAGAAAAATAAATTATTTAACTAAAGTAAGAAATAGGAAGGAGTCTATAGGGGATGGAACGTTTAATGCTGCATAAAAGAGGATCAATGTGGATGAATACAGATGTCAAGCTTTCGTATGACACAATTCCACATTGGATTACGAGTTATTTTTACAAAAATTGGAGATTTTTTATTTCATATGTTATATCAAAGTTTCAAACGATAAAAGAAAGCTTTATTATATATATATATATATATATATTAAGAACTTCTGAAAAAAAGACAAGAAAATAGCTTTATAACTTCTATTTTACAAATTTAATTTTTATTCAATGTATAAGTAATGTTTTTTAAACTAGAAAAAAAACACATTTTTAAGTTATGTTAAATCCATTAAGTAAGTGATTTAATGTGAAAATATGTTTTTATTAAATGCCATATTAATAACAATTTTTCGAAAATTTATTCTTATTATTTTTTTATACATGTTTTATAATTTAATTCTATTTTTTAATATACTTTTTCTGCAATTAAATACATTATTCTTTGTCATTCCTTCTGTTCGTCCCACCAGTGGCTGCACTGGTGGGACGAATAAAAGGAATGGCAAAGAATGTGGATAAACTACTGAACACTGGACGTGGGTTCGCGCATCACCAACGTGCTGTTCACGTGGAGTTTTCTTCACGTGTTTAGCATCTAGTTTAGCGTGTAAATAATGGCTAGCTTCCTAAAGAATGTCCTTCCAGGAGGTAACCTTATGCCAGTTCTTCCGTGTGTAGCGTTGTCTCAAACCAACAATAAGTTTTAAATATGTAATAATTCTACTTATTCTTTTCAAATTCACATATATTTTAAAATAATTTACATAGTAAGAGTTTAAAAATTAATTAATTATTCTTGAAATTTAAGTAACAATTTAGAATTAGAAATTCTAGTCATGCACCAAAGGTTTTAATAAGAAAAGGGATGAAATAAACTGCTAGAGAATCTTTCAAATAGAACACAATATAAATTTATTAATAAATTAATATGTTCGAATTAACAACTTTTTTAAAATTTTGTATTACATATAATTCAAATTATAATCGTTGAAATAATATAATTAAAAGAAATTTAATGGGTATAACAATCCGATTAAAGCTAATGTGGCTTTTATAGCAATAATTCCATTTCCGGATCGAGCTGTAAAACAATTTGGTAAACATATAAATGTCAGAAACGAAATATGGCAAAAGATATTTTAAATTTATATAAAATTTACTTACTTTCAGCAGCATTCATTCCATCACTTTCTTTAGATTGGATACAATCGATTACTTCTTTGGGTACACTTTTGTCTTCTTTATCTATAAAGGAAATTTTTATTAATGGAAAACAATTTTCCTTCCATTAATAAAAATATATATTTCATATACATTGTCACAACTAGTACTTACCACAGAAATTCCTTACACAAACATAATCCCTTGAACAATAGGCACAATACTCTCCTATTATATAAGGTTGCCTTCTTGTATCCGCACTAAAAAAGAAAACAAATATGAATATTGATGTGAAGAGAGTGAAATAACATATAAAGTATTAGTTTTCAATGAAAGCAATTAAAATTATGAAAACTTTTACATAATTTATTCTAAAAGTCTTAATACAATAATAATATAAATTTTTTAATATTAATTATGTTGTTGTAAATGTTACATAATAATTGTGTACAATAAATATTTCACAAGGTGTTTTATATATATACGTAATTACGTAAAAGTAGTTATAAATTAACTCTTCAAAATTTAATCAATTTTGAAGAGTTAAACTGTAGAGCATGGTATAAAATTTATCCAGTGGCTTTCTACAAAATGATGTTCCTGTGTTTGACATTGGTAAATTTAAATCCTTTGAAATAAAAACAATCTGTAAAATGCACAAGAAAAGAAATTTATTCTACTTTTTTTTAAGTCAGATGTATTAGTAGAGGTGGCTCAACTTAATCAACTCCACCACCTAATTTGATTTCTCCGGTGCATTTGTTTCCTTAAACTTCTCTCTTTCTATGTTATTCTTCCCAGAAATGCAAATAAAATACAATGAAATACAACTGTAGAATACATTCATAAAATTGCAAAATTGATGGCCAAATAATCAAGGCGGTAAAGCCTGCTGCACTAAGTTATTGCAACTTTCATTTCAGTGCGCTAGAATTTCTTGAGCATCTTATTTGTCTTTTCATCCTATGAACTCAGAGGAGCAATGCTCATAATGGGGGCATTTATTGTGTATTATCTGCTCCATTGATTTAATAATAACGTCTTCTGGATACTTCCGTCGTGAGCCATGAAGAGTGAATTTCGTGAAAGGAGCCCACGCGTAACGCTCTCGATGAAAATTCGAACCTTTGTCCCCTAGAGAAGTAGAGTGACGTCTAATTGCATTAACTATCTGGCAATTATCCTGTATATATGCTAGTCATTTATCTTCATAACTATTTATATACAGTATTATATAATATAATTAAATAAATAAAATAATTTAGTTTTTGTTTATAAAGGTAGTATTCTGTTTAAACGTCAGATCATCCATATCTTGAATAGAGTTGCGGGTCTGAGTCCCGCTCCGGGCCGATTCTTTTCTTCCAGAATATTATAAATTGTTTAATATAATTATAATTATTAAATTTAATAAAAGATTGCACCTAACGCCTCCCTCCAGTGACAAATTATTTAGAAAGTAATTAAATATAATCGAGAAAAAGATGTTTGTATATTTATATGTAGATCTAGTTTGATTTAGCTCTCTTATTCTCTCCATGACCGTATACTAACATTTCTTCACAATCCCATATGATTGCATAAAATAGTTTTAATAAATTTGATAGATTTCGATGAAATAAAGGAATAAAAATTAATACAATATATAAAATTCATGTGTTTGAACTTACGGAGGATAAATGTTGCATATCATGAAATGGCCCGAACCGAGATTTTCGCAACTCGATTTTGAACAACCAATTGCGTAACTTTCGGCCCATACAATCTATTAAATTTTAAATTAAATCTATTATTAAAATTTGATCTTATCAAATACAACTTTGTCGATTTTAAATGCTTAATACTTACGTTTTTGAATGAATCACAATTACCATTACATTTATTGGTTTCGTAGGTATAATTAGAATCATTGGCCCATTCGTTTAATAGATGTATTTCATCAAAGGATTTGTTGATTGAACCTCTATTTTGACTGAATTTTTTCTCACAACCAGGAGGACCAAATTCCCTTTTACATTGATCTCCCCAATCCTTAGCGAGATTTGCTAATTCGTCACTCCATATCTACAAAGATATTACAGAATTATATTATTAAAAATTATTCTTTTATATCTACATAATAGTTTCATTTTACATTAAATTCGACCAAATATTTTATTCTCTCTATTTTTTTATATTTTTATACAAAACACGAAATCGTTAAATCCGATTATGGACAATGACATATTTTATACCATCCATCAGTGGCTGAGCGATTTCAACTACTTAGACACTGGTGGACGGTCTAAAATATGAACATTGATAACTGGTCCCTGGTTCGCTCATCACTTTAGCTGTATGGTTTGGTTTGATGGGATACGGCAACAGAATGCCCGGGCAATCTGCCAAGAGGGATTCCTCTCGGGAGGATTTTTTATGAAAATTCTGAAATTCCCTTCTCGGGAGTACCCGTAATGAATAATTATAAAGGCTGATGAGCTTATAAAAAAAAATTAAATTCATCGATCATTTAAACATTTTAAATTAACATTATTACTAGAAAATAGAACTATTAACTGAAATAAATTTTTTAAACTTTTCGTCGAACAGTTATTTCAATTTATAAATATTTTCTAAATGTAATTCACTTACCACTCTCACTTTATTTGACACAGCATCAAAACTATCCTCTGAAGTTCGTGACTTAAGATTATTTACTTCCTCTACAATTTTGTTTTCTTGATTCGCTTTGAATCCACTGTATTTCAAGGCATCCGGATATTGATAGGAACGTTTAGAAATACTTTTTAATTTGTAGTTAACCCCACCTTTTGTAGAAATGGATAATCCATTGTTTACCCAATACAATCCCAAAAACCATACTATCCAGTTTCGAGTCATGTTTTAAAGTTTTCGAATTGAAATCGCTTCCAGAGAAAAAAAATGAAGTCTAATTCGATTAACTTTCGTTCGAATTGATTTTAAATTTAAGAATTTAACAAACGATAAATTAAATAATTGCTGACGTCTTTTATAATATTTTATCCGACATTTTTTTATTTTTTAAGATAAAATGTTTATGTAAATATTTAAAAGTTTATTATTATTTTTCCTAACTCATAAATATCTTGTATAGAAATATTTATGATGCTTGTTCATTCTCTTTGAAGCTTAGTAACTCCTGTGTCTTTTGTCGAAAAAATCTAGAATTTTTCAAGGAGGTTTGGGTATTAGGAGTCTGAACTATTAAATTTTGGTGGTTAAAGGTCGAGATAGCTTTTCTAATGATTACATTGCCACTTTGTAGAGCTTCCGAGAGATACGAGAATTCCTTCACGATGTCGATCATTGATGTTACGTCTTTTAAAAATCCAAACTAAACAAATAGTTGGTTAATTCCTCACACAGAACTGCGTACTAATGCTAATTGAGATGGTCCAGAACAAAACGTGATATTTCCATCTTGGGGAAATACTTATTTTTTATTAGATAGTGTTATATTAGCTAAAAGTATCTGCAAATCGAACCAGACTTAAGTCTGTAATACATTAATTTACAATAATGATATAATACTGTATTTTATATAATTCAAAATATCAGTTTTTACCTTTCCTTGACAGAAAGTTTATAGTAGAAATGTATCTTTTTAGGTTTCAGCAAAATATTCAATGTAACTAATGGAATCTAACAGTTTTGCAGATACGATTTGTTGAGAGAACTTGAATGTTGTCTTCAAATGAGTGTTAGACGGTATGTACTGTATAAGTAACCGAAATTTCATTGAAATCCGATAACAAGGATCACTTTGGATAGAATGAAAATTAAAATTCGAAAAGGAAAAGTTGAAAGTAACATGAATTATTGTCGGAGGACCGTGAAAACGACTTGGAGAAAACTCGAGTTAAGAATATTCAAGTTGGAGACGTTAAATTCCTACGCTATTCCATTGATACTTATCAAGTGCTTCATTTTCTTCGAGTTAAAGAAATACTCGAGTTACAAACATTAAGTTTTACTGTAGTTGTCAGAAAATTAATATCTATGTACTAATAAAATACTAATTGTAGTAGCGGTTATTCAGTGATAGTGTTTTCAAGTTCCAAAAGAGCTAGAAAAGTCATAAATGATACAGCAAGCTCAATTTGTAGATAAATAACAAACACGTTTTTGGACAATGTTGACTTATAAATTTTAGAAATTTTACAGTTTTTCCTATTGTTTTTGAAAACATTTCTAATTTTAATTCTTTTGAAATGTGTTCGACTCTCTAACCCCCCCCCGAAAATCTAGAATGCAACGATAATCTTAGATCAACGCTACTTTTGGTCTGAAGCTCTATTAATATAATCAGAAGACTTATACACCCAGAATCGGATAATTAATTACTGCACAAATATGGGATTCTCACTACACAAATCAAAACTTCCATTACACATTTTGTGTCTAGTTGCACTTAGAATATATTTTACTAGCTTTTTATCTGTTCGCTCTGCAGGTCGGTTAGGCTGCAATTTGAAAAAATTGTATACCCATAAATTCTTACTGTCTGTCTGTTCTAATTTAATAAATTCCCCATGCGTCACACAATTTTCCCTTCCCTTTCCACTCTTCAACATTTTCACCCTCTTGGCCTCTGCTACAAATCTTTCTCTCATTCTCTCCCTTCGTATTTTCCTTTCATCCCCTTTTAAAGGCTACACCTACGAGTACGGCCTTCTTCCCTTTCCTTATTGTATTGTATTGTCTGTCTGTTATGTAGTCGAAGTAGTCGTGTAAACTTTGAAACAATTTTATTCTTTATATTTCAGATTATTACTAAATTATAGTGGAGCCTTATTTATCGAAGAATTGCTGGAACATCACTTTAACGAGAATCAAAATAATATTAAACGTAAATTAAAATATAAAACTTCTTCAAGTACGGATATAAAATGGTCTGTGTGTAATCACTTCTTTGTAAAAACAGCTAGTCCAGTTTTAGATTATCTGTACGGAAACTACAGAAGAGAGAAAACTATTGTAAATATTCTATTCATATATTATTTATTTATGATAATAAAAACATTACGTCAATAATATGATTATTATTATTTCGTACTAGAACGAAGAATTAATCGATTATATGAAGAAAGCTATGGAAGAAATGATAGAGCAATCGACATGGTTAGATAAACCAACGAAAGAAGCAGTTCAAGATAAAGTGAGTCGAAATAAATCTTTATATTTTTATTTTTTTTTTCTTCTTAAATTTTTTTAAAATAAGAAAATATTTCGAAACAGTTAAATCATATGATGGCATTCTTAAGTTTTCCACCTTGGACACGAGACTTAGAAGAAGTAGAAAAGTATTTTGAAGAAGTAAGAGAATCTGTAATATTCATGAACGTGGGCAGAAAATTTTCTAGGGGAGCAAAGCTTGGTGACAAATAATTATATTAATAAATGTTTATTTAATGATTTAATTAATTAATTTTTGGAATTTTTTACAAGTAGATTATAGAATACAATACAGTCATACCCCGGACTTACGCGATAGGTGGGACCGAGTGATAACCGCGTAAGTCGAATTCGCGTAAGTCGGGGTATAATTTTGCATATAAATACATACAAATTATTTTTAATTGGGACCGGAAACTAAAGAAAACAATAATTTAGAAAAAAATGTTTAATAAAATCTTAGATAATACATATGTACAACAAATTATATTACAGTAATACCCCGACTTACGCGAACCCAGAGTTACGCGATTTTCAAATCTCGTCGATTCGTCTTTTGTTTGAGCGCCACGAAACTCTTGATTACTCACTCCCCCCCACACTATTGTTCAGCTTATATGTTCGGATGTGTCGCGCGGAATCCACACATAGCTACAATTTATTTTGTGTTATTTATTTCTGTGTTTGTTATATCTACGGAGACTCGAGAGACTCTACTATGTCATCCAAACGTAGTAGAACTAATTCTTCTGCATCAAACAAGATAAGAAAAACTTTATCTTTGGAATGTAAAGTTAACATTGGGTACGTTCGTAAAGTCGAACGAGTTAA